GTGAAAAATTCAACCAAGTCTATTGTACTGTGACTAGTCTGACTACTAGCTGGTTTCAGCCTGTGTATTTTTCCCCATGTCTGTTCTGCAACCATTGCCTTGGTGAATTTTCTAACATGTGGTGGACATGAACACCCAGATCTTGATTGTGATAAGGTGCTGCTCTGACACTTCAAAGGGGTTGTAAAGCTTCCCTAAATTAACAGCTATAATTCTACTGGATTGAAAGAATCCTCACATGGTACAACTGACATACGGGATGGGCTGTAGTGCCTGTTCCCTAGTGATCCCTGTACTGTATGATTGAGATCAGTCTGCTCTAAATTACACCAGAGCCAAACTGGTCCCTTGTAGCCCTGTGAGTTGCAATGCACAAACTTAGCTTACAGCTGCCTTTGTCCCTCTACTCATACTCAGCTCTGGAGAAGGAAGCTCTGACCCAGTGCACTGCCATTAATGCTGAGTAACAAGACAGAAACCATGTAAGTTTCTAGAATGATGTCATGCAGATCTTCTCTCCTGAGATTCATTTGAGATTTTTTAAAATTTATATTTATTTTAAATGAAGCCTTTTGCTGAATTAACACTTCTGTTCTTTTCTGCAACATCTCTCTTGCCTCTGTCCACATCTATTACCTCCATCTTGTGCTGCTGAGCAAGGACTACCTGTTGTGTGGTGGTTTTGTGGTGGAAGACAGCCACATTTTATACAAGCCTTTATACAAACCAACCTCATTCCAGCACAACCACATTTTTTTTCAAATGTCATTTAGCAAGGTTGGGTAGAAACGAGTGAAGTATTTTAGATAAAACTTTTTTTCACTAAAAGTTAAAATTTGAGTCTATTTAAAACATTTCATAAATCCATTTTGATGCAGGCAAATTTGTTCAGCTGAAGAAAAAGCCGTAAAAACAATCCAAAAAGAAAAACATTTAATTTCAACATTTTCAAAATTAAATGCTTTACTATTTTATTTAAACAACATTTGAAATGTTTCTTTAGCTTATTATGTTTAATAAACTCAGTAAGAAATGAAGATATTTGTTTTGTATTGCAAATATTTTTTCCCTGATTTTTCAGCTTGGCTGGTAGACTAAAAAATCAGGCATTTGTATCATTTGGGTTATAACTATAGATGAGAAGGAGACTAATGTACTGTGCCAACAGTATATATTGACCAACCATACATATTGACTGGAAAGCAGCTTTAGGTACATTACTACCAGCAGGACAGGATGGAAACCTCAGCATAGGTAGAATATAGGAAATAAACTTGGCGTATAGCAGTGGAACTTGTCACTTTGTTCCAGGTGACCTATTCCTGCTCCCACTGAAGTCAATGGCAAGCTTCTCACTGATTTTAATAGCACAGGATTGTACCCAGAATATGGTACAGAGTGTATATTTTATGTTGCATCTTGTATCTTCAAATACTTCAGAAAGAAATGGCTTATGTCTGAAGTTCAAATCCGTATTAAAAAACAATTCCACAAATTGTTCTGGGAGCACTGAGTTTTAGACATTAACTCCTTACAATACCTTGAAGCCTGTGTGCTCTTCTCCCCATGTTGAGGATATGTTTAATTAGTGTTATTATATAAATAGGACTTAAAAATGATAATGACCATAGACTGAAGCCCTTTCTGAAAACTTTCAAACTGAGTTCTGGGTTGTTGTTTCTTTTAATTAAAAATTGCCCCCCTGTCCTTACCACTTATTATAACCTGCTCTGTGAGACTTTAGCAAATGGAGTACCAAACAGCAATGGTAACTGAGCAATGCAAAATATTTGCAGAACGTATATTTTGAATTCAGGGCCAAATCTTCAGAAGTCTCACTTCAGTAATTATTGCTCATACAACAGGAAATCAAAATAAACTATGCGGACATAGGTGCTCAATCAGAATAGCTCATACTTTCAGCATTGAGTACTTGCAACAAACTATACAGAAATGAATTGCACAGCATGAATTATTTGCAGAAATTGTTAGATATTTTCAAATAACACAAGTCATAAGCCAAGAAAAGGGAAATTGTTCCTAGAGCAAATGATTCTTTCATGAAATATCCATTCCTTACGGATGTGAGAAGCAGGCCCTATTCGGTTCAGATTTGGCCTGAATCAGGGACAGTGATTCAATTCGTTGATTCGGATCACTGTCCCTGATTCGATTCGTTTGAATCCGAATCTGAAGATTCAATGCTGATTCAGAGAATCAGCAATTCGGACACAGACACAGTTTTAAAAGGTTTTTTTCTACATACCTTGAGGTACCAGTGCAACTCATGATCACTGCAATGCTGGGGTGGATGGAGCATCCCACAGGAGTGCAGGGTGGCCCTCCACATGCTCGGCAGTGGACCGGAAGTACTTCCGGTCCACTTTCAGGTCTGCCAGGGAGCATGCATGGGAGGCCCATGCACCTCCCCCCTTGGCAGTCGGCCTCAGGGGGACCCTGGGTGCCCCCCCCAATCCAGGAGACACTAGTTGCTGACCTGAGGAGGGTGAGGGGGGGCCCCAGCGCACTCCCCGATGGACCTGGAAGTGGAGCAGAAGTGCTTCTGGTCCACTCCCAGGTCTGCTGCCGAGCACACTGTGGAGCCGCCTGTGCTCCTGTGGGACACTCCATGCGCCCTAGCATCACAGCACCCACGAGCCCCTGCTACCTAGAGGTGTGTAGAAAAAACATTAAAAGCTGTCTCCGTGTCTGAGTCTCCAAATCTTTCTGAATCTCTCCGAATCTATTTGGAGGGTTCCAATTAAATTCAGGGAGATTAAAGGGTCCCCTGATTTGATTCGGATTCAGAGATTTGGCCACCAAATCAGGCTGAATCTCTGCCAAATCGAATCAGGGACCGAAGCTTTGCATAGCCCTACCATTCATCTCTATCTTTAAATGGCATTTTATCATCATTTAGATGGACATCTACAATGCCACTAGAGGTCAGCAGTGTACTGGCATAGAGATTCTTACTGTGTAAATAAGAGAAACATTTTCCGTATGGGAATCATTTTCATAATTTGCTGTCTATTTACTAAATGACATCAATTGGATGACACTTAAGAACCATAAAATAGCCACGTGCACAAGCTGATTGTAAATATATTGTGAGTGTGTTCCACAATGTCAAGGCAATGCATTTCAAAGGTCTTTGGAGGGAGGGGTGTGAAAAGGGGTGGAGAATGTGCTTCTTTCCTTGGATGATATTTTCCAGTTAAGCAATAATTGCCCAAAATTTGCATTTGAGCAGACTGATGGTTTTAGACACCTGATGGCAATTGTTAGAAAAAGGATATATATTATTTTCACACACAGAAAACAGACATGGGGAAAAATACACAGGATGAATCTTCAGTTGGTACTAATTGTCATGCATCCAGTGGAGACACTATAAGTATGCTACAGAAGGAAAAAATAAATAGTCATGTAACTTACAGTAGACATTTCAACTTCAGGTTTCTTTCTGTTTCTTAGGGGTTATCACAAATTACTTCCATTTTTGTTCTGAATCTCATGCTAAAAGAAACACAACATTTTATTAAAACTTCAGTGCAGAGGTTCTCTAAATGTTGTAAGTAAAACTGTAAATTGTGACTGAAACAGTTACTCACCACTTTCAATGGTTGGTCCCTTTTGAGAATGTGATAAAATACGCTTTGGCTCTGTTTCCACAGACTGGAGTAAAGTTTACAAATACAGCTGAGTACCTTGTGATCATCTTCTAAACTGTAGATGTGAACCTAAGCCACATTTCCTTTTCTTCCCCTTGACTTATGTTTAAAGCAATGTCAAGTCATATTTAGAACTGTCGTGTTGCTCCATGTGTAGTGTCACTTTTTTTTCTTCTTTCCCTCTGCAAAATCACTAAGTGGATGATGGTAACCTGCCAAACTATCCTTTCAGTTAGGAAAGAGCAAGCAGGATCCAACAATAAGAATTCTCCATCTTCTCCTCTTAAATTATTTACTGATATAATTATTACTTATTAAAATACGCCAAGTAAAATGATTTATTTATGTAACTTAAACCATGGTAATATGGTTCCCTATAGAGTGCTCTAGTTTTTAATGCCCGTTGCAACAGAAATGACATCTCTTAGAGCTTTGTTTTAAAGTTTGTTTTAATTTGCAAGCAAAAGTTAATACAAAGCAATTGCAAATATTCACAGCGATTAAAAACCTGTTTTCCTACTGGTTTCATTTAAATTAGGTCTCACTTCTCAATTAAAATACTTGTCAATTGACATGCTTTAAAACAGGTTTTTTTAAAGTTACATTTACTGAATTGAATTAAGTAAGCAAATACTGCATGCATAAGTAAATAAATAATGATGAGAAGGGAAAGTTAGTCATTTGGGAAGCAGAGTTACATACATAATAACATTACTAAGCTAATGCTGCTGCCTGATTGTATATGTTGACTAAATGCTGTATATGAAAACACTGGCAGGTTATTGTAAACATTTGTAGTATATGCTTGAGTTCTCTGACTTATATTGACATAGTTTAACTTATTTTAAATGCTATTTAAATATTGTTTGTCAAATAACTAGTGAGAGCTTTGCAAAATGCATAGATCAGAAAGCATGAATCAATATTTGTCTTATAATTGTAAAAACGGGTTGGATCCTTGTTGCATCTAATATGAAGCAGTTTTCACATCACACTTTCCTTACTATTAAGTCTTGCGAAACACAGTCCCATTACTAGCCCATCAGAGAGGAACCTGGGAACATCTACAGGAACATACTTTAGTAATATTAATTTTCTACTGTCTTTAGTACACTACATCCACTTTTACCATTCCTACATACTGCTTTCTTTAATAAAAACAAGATAAAACGCTATAAAAACAGATCTCATGGGTTGCTTTTTAAAGTCTATAAACTACAACCTTAGAAGTTAGAGGCAATCTAAAATCCATAATGCATTCCTTTCTCCCATCTCCTGAAAGCTAACATTGTCTGTAAACTGTACCGGAGAAAAAGGACCACTCACCATTAAAATAAAAGGAAACCACTGCAAGGAGAAAGAGCTTGTATGTAGACCTCATGGCAGTAACAAAAGGATGTAAATTTTTCTTCAGTCAAGACTGCTGGAGATAAGCTCTGCTGTCAGGATTGCACAGGCACAAGAAATAAAAGCAAACCTGGACCTTGGAGATACTACACCCTTGGAAAGAGACGGACAGTAGGACCTGGCAGACACATTCTGCAAAGTGAAGCTTTCATGACCATGGCAATCCCTCCCCCTTTGCAGCCGTTTTAAAGAGCCTCACCAAGAGAAAAGCATGTGAAAAGAGGAAGCATAAAAATGTTAATATGAAATAAGGAAGGGGAGATAAAATGGCAAGCAAACAAACAAGGTCCACATTACCAAAATGTATGATTTTTGCTACTAGGTAACTTTCAAGGGCTTTCTCATTATTGGTGCTTTTGAGCTGGCAAGAAATGGCTGGATGGGAAAGTGCTGGAGATAATTTTTTGCCACATGCCTAGTTAATGAAATTCACTTAAATGAATGATGGCCCTGGCATTATGGTCATTTTCTGTGTTAGTGGGAAAGTTGATTATCTACTACCAACCCATTTCCTTTCTACAGTCCATGTTGTATATGGTCTGTTCAAGTTACAACTCTGAAAATCTTAGGAAACAGCAGGAGGGGCATGGGAAATTCATTGTTATTAACATTGACAGGGATTTTAAACAGGACAGCAACATCAGCCCACTGAGAAATAATAGTCATGAGAGTAATAAAAAATAAAGATGTTCTTGAGAGGCATGAGGGGAAGGAAGGGAACTCTATGCCAGACATTGTTACTGTCTGAAGGGTTCTGATGACATAACCTGGTGGGAGGGTTGCAAAATGTTGAGTATTGTGGGAGATATAGTGAGCATATGTGACTGGGGGAGAGGAGGGAAGAAAGCTTACATACCCTTTCAGAGCAGAGTATAGCGTATTACTCTCTGAAGTTACTGGACAGAAGGCCAAAAGTCCTAATATATCTGTTTTCCCTCACTCTGCTTTAGCCATCCATAGTGGGTGATGATGATGTCCTTTCTCCACCCTTCTACCAGTCTAGCACTCTGGGCTTCAACAGTGCTATTCCTGACTCACATCAGTGTAGCTGGCATAAATGCCAATCTCTACTTCTGCTTCCAATATCAGCAATGTCACTGTGATTATGAATTTATGGGGGCGGAGGTATTATGGGTGTATGTGACATTCATCGTTTAGTACTGAGAAATTCATTGCTGTCTCCCTAATCATTCCTGTATCCTTCTTTTTCCACTGATTAGTCCAGCCTTCCTTGCTGTAACTTGACTGCCTTTAAAGGAGCTTTTACCACGAATGAAATTGGCCCAGTAAATAAACAGACAGCACTCCAGTCCCAGTTAGTTAAAGTCTCCCCTTACTTCTCTTTCCAGTTCACTGTGTCCTTCAACTGGTTTGCAGTCATTTCAGTCCTGAGTTGATTTTGATCAGGTGGCCAGTTACTGCTGCTGCCTTTCAAAAATCTGCATCTGTTAGCCATTCACACCATAGCTTCAACTGAGCTACCCCTAGCTGGTGATTTTGAAGGTTCATAGGAAAGTAGGCCTTAGAAGGTCATCAAGTCCAGCTCCCTGCTCAAGGCAGGTTCGTCCCTGACTAAACCATCCCAGCCAAAGGTCTTTCTGACCTTCTTGAAAATTTCCAGGGCTGGAGATTTTATAACTCCTCTAGGTGGGCCGTTTCAGTGCTTGACCGTGCTCAGAGTCAGAAAGTTTCTCTTAATCTCCAACCTACTCGAATTGCTCTTAGTTGTGTCCCCTATGGCTGCCAAGAAAAACCCATCTCTGTCTTCTCTATAATCACTCTTCAGGTATTTGAAGACTGCTATCAAACCCCAACACAGTCTTTTTTTTCTCCACTGTAAATAACTTTAGTTCTTTCAACTTTACCTCATAAAGCTTGCTTCCTAAGGTTGACAGTCTTCTTTCACAGGAAAAGCTGCTGTATACCCTGTTTCTTTTATTCTTTGCCTGTTTAAATATGAATACCTGCTCATTCTAAGATAGATCTCATAGGCTTTGTTGTTATTAGGGCAGTGTGAAGTTTTGGTCCCTGATTCAATTCAGCGGAGATTTGGCCTGATTCAGCGGCTGAATCAAGAGACCCTTTGAACTCTCTGAATCGATTCAGAGAGCTTCGGTGATTTGGCCATAGACACAGGTTTAAATATTTTTTCTACATACCTCTAGGTACCAGGTGCAGCTCATGAATGCTGCATGGTGGGGCAGATAGAGCATCCCACAGGAGCACGGGGGTGCTCCCCAGCGTGCTCGGCAGCAGACCCAGAAGTGGACCAGAAGCACTTCTGGTCCACTTCCAGGTCCGCCAGGGAGTGCACAGGGCGGCCCGCACCCCTCCAGCTTGGTGACTGGTGCCTTCTGGGTCTAGGGGGGGCACCCAGGGTCCCTCTGCAGCCAATTGCTGAGCTGGGGGGGCATGGAGGGGGCCTCCAGCGCACTCCCCGGCAGACCTGGAAGTGGACCAGAAGTTCTTCTGATCCATTTCTGGGTTCGCTGCCAAGCGGGGGTGGGGCACGCTTCTGTGGGACTCTCCATGCACCCCAGCATCGCAGCATTTATGAGCCATGCCTGGTACCTCGAAGTATGTAGAAATAACATTTAAACCTGTGTCTATGGCCAAATCGTTGATTCTCCAAATCAGCATCGAATCTTCAGATTCGGATTCGGCCAAATCAAATCGGGGACAGTGATCCAAATCAATGAATCAAATCACTGCCTCTGATTCGAGCTGAATCCAAATCCAAATCAAATACGGCCCATTTTGCACACCCCTAGTTGTTATGTTTTGCATTGGGTATCTTCTGTTTTTGCAATCTTAATTCCAAAATATACTTTAATTGGTTAAATCTCTTGTACCTCTGCCCTTACTGTCATACCTACATAAGATTATTTTGTTCATGGATCTTTTCCCCTCCTATATTAATAATCTTAAAAGTTTTAGAGCTTTGAGGATAAGAAGGTATATGTACTCATAATTATTTTCTTAATAATGTCCATATTTTCCAAAATAGTCACTTGTAATGTACCACTCTTGGTTCCTTCATCCTCTTCTGTAGCTTTTCAATCTATGTTATTGTAATTTCTCATACAGTAACACCTACAGCAGTGATTTTTTCCAACCATGATGCCGAAGCACCCTAGGGTGCCTTGAGAATCTTTCAGGGGTGTCACAGGGTGCCACACACAATGTTAGCACAGTTAGGTGTGCACATATGATTCAGAAAAACCCAGAATTTCAAATAGGAATCTCTAGTGTTGAAACCATTCTGCCCTGTTGTGGTCTTTTTGAGTTTTTTGGTACAGAGGACTTGCTCCAATATTTTTCTGTAGTCAAAAAATAGTGAAAAGTAAGAGCTGGTATTTTCTGAGGGCTGCCTTGAGTCTAATAATGGGTCTCAATCCGAAAAGGTGGAGAACCACTGACTTAGAGGCCCAGCTGGGATCAGGACCCCCTTGTACTTAGTGCCATGCCATATACTTAGGTGTTGATATCACTTTTGTAACCTTGTTTCTCTTTCTTTTTTTTTATTCCATGTGTCTTGGTTGGAACAGAAGTTAGTGAATCACTTCATGCTTCAAAGCACTATAGGGAATTTAAGGAAAAAGGCTGGGAGGGGAAAGACAAATGGAGGAGCTGTAAATTTGCATAAGTCTGCCTTGATTAAAAAAAAAAAGCTACCGCAAACCCAGTGGCTGCATTTTAATCCTACTTCCTGCAATCAAAACACAATAATTGCCCCTCTCCTCCTCTTGCCTTCACTTAATCTCCTCCTTGTAGTTGTACATTCTGTTGCTGTCAGAAAACCAGCTCCTTCGCCTTCTCCTTGGACAATCAGGTTTTTAAGAATGCATAGGGAACAGGGGTCAGGACAGCCATCAGCCTGGCCAGTCTCTTCAGCTTTTGAGATTGTGTTGGAGCAAAGTATCAGTCTTCTGGGAAAAAGCGCACAAATGTTGGTTTGTTTTTACCCTCTGCTTCTGTCTGTTCTCCCCAAAAGCAAGTTCTTCACCTGCCAGAGGAACACAACTCTGAGCATCAGTAATAGGCATAGCAGGAAAGGATTTATGCACCTTTGGGTCACTGCACTAGCACAGTTTGCCCACCTAAATGCCTCCTGCAAACTCTTTACAGCAAAGTAGGCACCATTAGGGCACATGGTGCAGTATATTGAGTGATCTGTGATGAGCAATTAGCAGGTTCACATTCTGAAGCACTCACAGTCCAATGGCCTGAGAGGGCACTCATGGGGCAACTTGGAACAAAAGGTTTTGGCTGCTTGAGCTGGCAGGCTTCACAGGGCAGTAGGAGCAGAACAGAGTGACCATGAGGGAACCAGAGGAGTACTCACTAGGCATGTAATAACAGGTACTAATTTAATGAGCCGTAATTGGTGCTATTGTCCAGTAGTGCCGGTACACGTCTTTTAGGTGACACTAATGTGCAGTAGACTAATTCCATTGCACATTAGCCCATTAGTGTGGCTTTCGCTGCGATATGCTAACAGACAGTAGAATTAGTCTACTGCATTTCTAGCGTCTCATGTAGATGCGCCCACTGATTAAATTACTGCTCTACTGCTAGGGGAGCTGGAGTCAAATAAAGAGGACAGACAGACCTAGTTTCTTTTTTATTTTTCATATTATTTTCCTTCTGCCATAAACTTTTTGCTGGGCTCTGGAAACAACTCATTTAAGTTCTCTGTGCATCATTCTAGGTCTATGTACATTGGCTATAACCATACCTTCCTCAGAGTGATGTTCTGGAGTTGTATTGGTTATTACAGCTTTGAGATCCTGAGCTTCAAGAACCTCCTGTTAGATATCTTAGGGTGTAGTATTCTGGATTCATGCATTAATGTTCTCTGCAAATGGTGAGGATGAGATGGAGCTGTTGATCCTTCTAATATACTAAAGTACTATAGCCCACATCTTCGTACCTTTTGAATGCAAAAGTCCTTTTGATTTTGGTGAGAACTTTGGGAGCATAAGAAATGCAGGATCACAGAGTGCCCAAGAAAACAGGCAGGTACTGTCAGCAGATTTGTCACTGTGTTTTCAAACTGCCACTTGAATTACAGAAAATCCGGTCACAGATGCTGGAGTTTGCCAAGCTGAAGCAGCTCCAGGCACAGAGGGCATCCTGAATAAGACAGGTACAGGGTAAAAGATTGCTGCAAAA